TTCTACGTGCTCACGGACCGGGCTTTAGTACAAAAACAGGTGGCACCCTATGGCACCGAAGTGTTTGGGGCCGTATCGCTGAAAAGTAAACAGTCGTTGTCGTGTTGCCTGCAGGCGAAGCAGCATCGCGCAGTTCGGAACGCAGCAGCGGCAGCGGTTAGAGCGCGGGCGGGCAGGCGGGCTTTATTAACGAACGGCGCTAATTAGCATAGTAATATCGGCAGCCTTAGGTGTTGGCGTAGACCCGGGAAGTTAAATACACTGGTCATCACAAAAATCGACCCTCCCGCGACAAGCACTTTCAAACGTATGCATTCCCACTTCCCCCACAAATGTTGGCACATTTGAAAGCTTAGTCCTAAAGTTATTTTTATTAAAGGAAAGGTTTTTACCCCAAAAATGTGTCTTTAGAAGGATCCAGAGTCACTTCTTAAAAAATAGGTAGTTACGCTTGAGCCAACTTTGAGCAAAGAGGAGACGTGAGATCATTATTTGGTTTTATAATCATAAAAATTGGTCTAATTGATCCCAGAGGTGAGCCCAAAGTTAGGTCTTTTTTCAAGTCACATTTATTGTATATTATTATGTTAATCGTTTATTAAGAAATTAAATGTGTTTTCTCTGTTACGTTAATGGATATTTATTGGGCTTTCAAATAACACCAATATTGTTAGGGCACCATGATTGTGTCAGTAGAAACGAGGTTTCCTGTAAAACGTATTTGGGTCGATTTTTGTGATGACCAGTATAGTATCGTTTCCCCTGCAGGCGAAGCAGCATCGCGCAGTTCGGAACGCAGCAGCGGCAGCGGTTCCAGCGCAGGCGGGCAGGCTGGCTGGTCGGGCTCCCGCGAGTGGCGCGAGTGGCGCTCCCGGCGCGCCCGCGAGCCGCACGCGCGGCCGCGCCGCATCGCGCCGGAGCGGTATCTCAACGCGTCATACCCGTTCCAGGTCAAGTTCACGCCGGACGACTTGCTCACTGGTAACTATAAACACAGACTAATAATAAGTACTACGTACAGAAGGTTTACTTCGCGAAGGTATTTAAAAAAATGTGTGCTCAATGTCATTAACAATATGGTGTAATTTAGCTTGTCTCAAGAGTCAAGCACCATTTTGTTGACAAACTTCAGTGATCTGTACTGCGCCAAAGTCGGCTGACTTCGGTAAAATGATGTGTGACGTGAGGTGCCAAACTGCAGAATCATGAATAATATTAACCACTTATTTACCTCTCAGTGTCTTCAGGCAACTTAAAAAAGTACATTGTGTTTTTATTATTATTTAGGCGGTTAAATACTGCACAGTATTTAGTACACCATTTTCTTTATTTTTTTCCATCATACACAAGAATACGCGTGCGTGAGTCAATGCTCGCTCATATGTGAAGCCTTGTCGAATAGTAATCCTGTAGGGTGCCATCGTACTTGTTGAGATGAACAGGCCTGCTATAAATATTTAATCAGATTGAAATGTATAACATTACTATGAGGTCTCACAGTCCGCGTGGACGCACAGGGTCACACACGAACCAATCGCAAAGCTCTATTCAACGCTGTGCGTTCGATTTGCTGCTTCACTTGAGCAAGAGTCGTTTGTGAATACGGAAGTAAATCTTACCAAGTTACATAGACGATACACAAACTGTGTCACTCACGCTAGGCTATGCCTGTCTTGTATTTGGTTTTCACTTCAACAACATAATTATGTTCTCTTTATGAAGCTACCAACAGCACTTCCAAATGTTCCTCTAAGTTTACAGATTCATGAAAAATATTTATTGCCTCAGATCAATCTATTAAATATTATTTACTATCAAAGCCAAATCTAAGAAGAACTATCGGTAGATATAATTTTAATGATTACTTCACTAAGTATTGTGTTATTGTCCCAGGATCAAAATGGGACACACTGTCGCAAGAGATGTGGGACAAGTTCGTCAAGTCGCAGCAGACGGAGGAGACCTTCAGGAAGAAGATGAACCTGTGGCGGTACCTGTACATTACTATTAAGGTAAATGACTTCATGTTTTAACCCACCTTTAAGGCGATAGTGTCCTCAAT